ATTATGGCCTGGATACGTTAATCAATGTCTAATTAATTATTTAGAAAATATTTCAGGCCTAAAGAAAGACCTGCAATAGGCAGATTTACCTCTTGCATAATGTATGTTTAAAGTTTCAATTTTAAAAAATATTCATTAAATAATAATTTAGAAGATTAATACAACCAGCGGCTGCCAGGCAGGATACACACACATTTTGCAAGAGATGGATAGAGAACATGCTAAGCAAAAAGCTATTTTTCGTACAATATGCGCAAATATAGACAAGAACCAAGAACTTTGGCTTATAAATTGTGACTTATATTTACACTTTTTGCGTAAGAGGGGCGGCCATTTTGTCTGTCAGTTTTGGTCCGATATTCACGATATTCGAACTCAAGCATCTTTACAGGGTAACGGTGAAATATTCAAAGCTCTTTTTAAATCGGATAATAATTGTGATCTCTTGAGGGACCATAAGCTAAAAACGAGATTTTTCGTACAATCAGGGGCCATAATTCAGGAAGTTACGATTCGATATGTGCAAATATCGAAAGGAACCATGATCTTTGGGTTATAAACATGTATTTCAAGTTTCATCAAAATCAGATGAAAATTGTGACCTCTAGAGTGAGTGTCCACAAGCTAAAAACGTGATTGTACGTACAATCAGGGGCCATAATCCATGAAGTTATGGTCCAATATATGCCAAAATTACCTATATTTTAAGTTTCGTCAAAATTGAACAAGCCAACAATGAGGCTGATGTCCTCCGCCGAAATCCCAAAATAAATAGATGACACATTTATTTTTTTCAAAAGTATCGAGCAATCAAACAACACACTAAGTTTCATAACTCTCTATCAGATAGAATCAAGATTATCTTGTCCCAAAGCATCAACCAATGAAATTGATTAGCTCTGCTTAGCTTTAGCTTGAAATGTTAATCATTGAAATCAGTCAAGACTTTCACTTAATGAACATCTACATCAGGTTTAAACATTCTACCTCAATTTAAAGCAGAGTTTTTATGTTCCAAAGTCTTGACCAATCAAATTGCTTATCGCTCCTTAGCCCAGGCCAAAAATTCGCACAATCAAACTTAGTCAAGGTAATGATATAATGAATCTATATTCAGAGTTTCATCGCTCTCACTTCATTATAACCGTGCCCCTAAAGCATCAACCAATCAGACTGCTTATCTCCGCCTACCGTAAGCAGACAATGTTCACCATCGAACTCCATCAAGGGAGTCACCAAATGAATGCCTACACCAAGTTTGAACATTCTACCTCAATTAGGAGAGTTATTATGTTCCAAAACTAATAATATAGAACTAATAATATGTACTTCTGTTGTGTCCAAGATAGTAAAGAAAATAACGTCATCTTTAGATGGCCAACCGCCACAACTTGTTAGCATGTATCAATTCTTTAAAGAGGCATTATGGGAGATTAGATAAAGAGTTGACTGTTCTTGCTATAATAGTTAAAAAATAGATAACATAAAGAGAATATGTTGAAAATTTCAGTCAAATAGCTTTTGAATTTTAAGCCTAGTCTTGATAATTAGTACGATAGAAAACATAGTCTCGATTATCCATTTTTGGATTTAATCATCAATGAGCGTTGAGCAGATCGGATTCAGATCCAGTGAAAATCCGACACATAAGATGACATCGAGAGTTGATTATGGTTTGGATAAGTTAATTAATGTCTAATTAATTGTTTATATATAACATTTCAGGCCTAAAGAAAGACCTGCAATAGGCAGATTTAGCTCTTGCATAATGTATGTTTAATAAATTTTGAGCTAAAATGTTTTGGTAAGTGCAGGAAAACAACACCACACATAAATCTGTAATTACTAAGTTGGACTAACATACAATGTCACACAAATATTTGAATACATACATGTATATAAAGAACCATGTAGACCAATACTGAAAACCATAGAAGATAATCAATGATTGAGGAACATAAAATTCTATTGTAGTCAATAATAAGAACCACAGATCTCTAAATTGTTGCAAAGTGGCTTAATCAAACCAATGAAATGAGTCTGTCACTTGAATTACTAATAGAATGCTAGACTGACGTCTGCAGATAATGTAGTCGACTATATGTATAGATATAGACATATATAAATTATTAAATATCAATACTTATATATATGTATTCCTGAATATTAGTCTATTGTGGGCGTATAAAGATCCAAATTTATACCAAATTCATTATTTACCAATGTCAACCAAAAAAAAAATAATTATATCCTACATGTACATGTTCCAAGTGAATGTCAATGCTATTAGGAGTCTCTCCTGAAGATAAAATTAACTTTATTAGAATGTTCCATCTCGAGTAAAACCATTCAGTCTCATTTTCAAAACAAATTTGAACTAAAATACTCAAAATATGTGTTCTTTTCATGCGTGTACCTAATCACTTGGATGTAAATGCCAATATTACACAATGTAACATTAGCAAGATTCATTTGTCGTTACAAGACTTTATAAGACAGATTCAGAAATCCAATCAAGATACTTGTCCTTTCTTTATTGACCATGTAAACAGAAGCAGAAGTCATGCCATTCACTATTTATCATGTTATATCAGAACTAAAAGTGGTAATAGCTAGAACCACAGCAGACGGGTTTCTATTAAGTGGCCATTTTAGTAACAGTTTAATAACTGGATAAATCAATGTTTACTAACAGCGTTTAACAACCTACAACCATTTTACGCATCTTTTGTGTTTTTAATGGGTTAAAAATTAGGCTTGGTTACAACTTGTACTTTCATGAAGTGCAATGTCATCTTAAAAATATAGCCCACGTATTTTTTGTTAGCATTATCCTCGGTGAGGTTCATCAGGTTTCAGAGAATGACTGTCAGAAATTGAATGTGCAGGCAACATTTATAAATTAATCTGTGTTATTATTATCAAATGAATGCTGCATGAAAATTCAAGAACTCCTATTAGCTTGAATGCTGGTATACCAATTGAGTATTTAATCAATTTATGATTTTCATGCAAATGTGTGGGAGCATGGGTGCATACTGTATATATGTATTGTAAATTTGGTAGGTCTGTATGACGATGAAATGTGGAGGTTTCTCAATAGCTATCTACAACTACAAAGTTTTTACAAAGTTAACCAATATGAAGATTTTGCTTTCACTGCAAGACTAAGAGTGTACATTAATAGATACTGCCTTCCACAGTAACTATTTCGCCACATAATTTCTGCCTGACAATCACAAACTTTATGTGCTTAGGGCAGGCAACAAATTGATTTGTGCACACACAGCTTTCTATTAGCAACTGTCTTGTCAGACTAAACTATGAATCAATAAATACTTGGCTAGTCTCTTGCCTTCATTGGCTTGACCTTCAAATAATCACCCACTCTTTTTTATTCACTTGGATATGCAACATTTTGTACAAACTGACCCTTTTAATCTTTGGAGTTTTTTTTAATTATAGTTAGTTATTATAATCAGGGAAACTGAGTGAGGTTTATGTTGACCCACATTACTTGATAAATCTGTGTTCCAGTTACAGCTTTTTTCAGGCAGCACTGCCTACTGACAAATTCTTCCCTCTCTAAATAATGACACAACCCGTCGCTTGATTGCTGAACTTTTGCATACAAACTAGGAGTTAGCACAACCAGTGTCTACAGCGGCTCCACATAACTTCTGATTGTCAGTTTTTACTATTCTATTAATGTCACTTGAAATCAAGACAAATGAATGAGACTAGCGACATAGCATTTACAAATTTTCCATTACTCCTATGTTTAAAGATTTATTTATTCTGATTGAATGAATGCCAATATTGTGCTGAGTTGCTGGCATTGGTACTTTTATCAATTCTTGACCTACATTTTAACCATCCGTTTTTCTGCCTTCACAACTACTGGTACATGCAACCTTATCATATAATTCAGTCAAAGCAGTGCCTTCTTTTTTGGTTTTCATTTTTATACGCCCACATTTTCATGTGGACGTATATTGTCGTCGCCCCTGTTCATCCGGACGTCCTTCCTCAATTGTTTGTGGACACTCTACAGGTCACAATTTTTATCCGATTTCAAAGAAACTTGAAATATAGGTTTATCTCCCTAAGATCTTGGTTCCTTTCGATATTGGCATGTATTGGACCGTAACTTCTTGGATTATGGCCCCTGATTGTACGAAAAATCGCGTTTTTAGCTTGTGGACCCTATAGAGAGAGAGAGAGAGAGAGAGAAATGGAGTTTAACGTCCACTCGACACAAACTAGGTCATTTCGGGACTAACACATGCTTTAATTTTATTTCAATAATTCGCTTGCGCGTAGGGGTCTTTAGCAGTGGGAGGAAACCAGAGAACCCGGAGAAAACCCACGAGGTTGGACAGGCGACCCTACTCTTTGCCACGTACAACCAGGGATTCGAAACAATTTTGATGAAACTTGAAATACATGTTTATTATAACCCGAAGATCTTGGTTCCTTTCGATATTTGTGCATATTGTATCGTAACTTCCTGAATTATGGCCCTTGACTGTACGAAAAATGGTGTTTTTTTAGCTTGTAGTCCCTCTAGAGGTCACAATTATTATCCGATTTAAAAAACCATGTGAATATATCACCGTTGCACCGCAATGATGGTCGAGTTCGAATTTCATGAAAATCGGACGAAAACTGCCAGACAAAATGGCCACCCCTCTACCCAAATAGAAATAGTGTAAACATCTGCTATATCAAGGTTGTGGACCCTCTAGAGGTCACAATTTTGATCCGATTTTAATGGAACTTGAAATGCATGTTTATAACCCAAAGACCTTGGTTCCTGTACCTTCCTGAATTATGGCCCTTGATGTTACGAAAAGTTGCTTTTTGATTAGGTTGTTCTCCATCCATCTCTTGAAAATTGTGGGCGTATCCTGCCTGGCAGCCGCTGTTTTTTAGTTGTTTTTTTTAAAATAAGGCAATTTATCAAAACCTTTAAAACTGTTGATATGAAATCAAATTACCTTTCTCTTTGAAATTTCAATGAGTGGACAATTTCTGGTCTTTTCTGTCGAAGGTTCCATAAATGAAGACTATCATCTGAGCAAACAGTAACTAAAGCACCCTGTAAACAAAAGCAAATGCAATTCAAAACAGCATGTTAAAATGTCACAGATACATTGCAACGACAAGAATGTATCCTATTTTTAAATTTGGGCTTCAATTGGTAGAAAACATATTCTATTGATAATCACCATTAACAAAATCAATTGAAATCCATAATCATTGACCAAACCGCATTGTTTTTTATTATGCACTTTTAGAAAACAACAGATCTGGTAGTCTTGTGATTTGCTGCGTTCGATATAAATGGACATTAAACCTCTGTTCTTTTTCATTCTGGTAAATTTTGAAATTCAATCCTGATGCTGCACCATATGAACATATAACCCATGATGCTGAATTCCACAAAGTACACCAAGTCTAAATGAAATGGTGTGAATGTAAATAAATGCATGCAGATTTGTATCTCAATCTAATGTATCAACATACCTTAAATTTACATCACACTGCACGTTTCACAAATATGAGAGGGAAGAAACTCCTATTAGAAATTGGTGATTTTTCTTTGTAATGCTTAGTAACTTCGATTGGCGTGGGATAAAAACATGCACAACTTTAGCGTGAAAACTGTTGGACAGGTTAGTATTAAAAGAATTTCATGTAGAATGGACTGTGTAGATACATGTACCACAATCATCTAGTTACACTCAATGTTGTAATTTTGTCAAATATTTATTGGAGTAGATCTCTTGGCATGTTGATATTATAACCATGCAACATAAATTCCCCTTAAAAGTAATTTAATTTTTCGCAGACAGCAAAATAAATCTGCCCACAGTAATTCTGTGTGCTATAAAGATGAGCATGTAAGAGGATTTGACATTATTGTTGTGATTTAATGTGAAGACTTAATATATACACCAGAGGATCGATACTTAAACTTCACTAGGCCACTATTTTATTTGGAAATTTGACAAAAGTCAGAACATTTCAGGAAAAAACAAACTCAATCAAATAAAAGGTTTGTCCGTTCTGAAAAGCCAAACATCCACATCCCAAAGACGTTATAATTATGAGGGATGAAGATTTACATTTACTGTACAATTTTCATCAATGTCAATCACCACAGATTTGTCTAATGGCTTTATTGATCGAATACAGATTTAAATAAAGACTGCATGTTCTTTTTTTTTCACGAAAATACCAAACAAATTGTTGGAAGCAGTGTAATGGAAAATGTTAACTTGTGAGTTGACGTAAAAAGCGAGACAACTTATTAGACTTGTAGCTTAGGTCACCTTGTCGGCTTATTTAGTTTTACATATATTGAAAATCTAATAGCTATTTTGCTGTCATGAAAACCATTAAGATGGTGAACAGGGAAATAATACAATTGGTTGCGATAGGCAGGCGCTTTTTCTAAACAATTAAAGAGAAATTACAGGGCTAATCTGTTACAGGATGAGACTTTAATCAGATTTACTTGCTTTCCTCACAATCTGATGATGCTGTTGCTATCTTCAATCGTCAACAAGATCAATTAACTTTTTAAGAGTTGTTTGAAGTTCATCATGATGATGTATTATTTATGTAGACAAACAATTGATTAAAAGCAGCACCTGAATAATATAGGTAATACATATGACTTACCTCATTAGCCAAGAAGAGAATCTGTGAGACTGCTACATCACCAAAATGTTCACATTGACAATCAACACCCGACTGCCCAATACTAATCATAAGAGTTAAGAAAAGCAAGTTTTCAAACATTTAATATCAACAATTAATTATATCTTTTCATCCATATTCATTAATTATCAAACTATGCAACCTTATTTATTACAAATGGTTTGGTGCCATAAAAGATATTATTTGTTTCAATTACTAGGGTGTTGAAAGAACAACTTTTAATGTTTGGAATGTCAAATCCAATTGTTTTTTTGATTCGACTTCCTCTTCAATTATCTAAAATATAAGATAATGGCAACCTGCCCTTCTCAATTTGATCAACACATATAATATATTCAGTAAATAATGTTTCTTATAAAAGGTATTGTTTTTTTTACAACCATGGTGCATGAAACAAAAATTGTAATTAAATCAAACTAATGGCAATCCTCAATTGAAAACTAATTAGTAATTAATTAGTAATCAATAAATCATTTCATGTCAAAATCAAAATTGATGATTGTAACACAGTTTTTAAATTTCAAATTTTAATTTGTATGATCCTTGCTAGGAATCTTTTTTCTAAATAATAACAACAACATGACCTGGGGTTGTTGGGTGTATTCTTATTATTACAATATTGATATTTTGTGATAGTAGAATCCACAGATCGAATATGAAGAACTGTCTGAGAATACAAATCACTGAATACGAATGAGTTACAACACATTGTATTAATTAAAAATCTATTTAAATCCAATGGAATATATAAAAGCTGTAAATCAACTTGTCTTTCACATCTCTGATCAATAAAAACATAACAAATCATTTTATTGCAATTTACTATCAAGAGTACATGCAAAGATTAACATTTCACAAACAAAACACCTCATCTTTAAATTGATTTTATCGACCTTTACAGGAATTGATATTTAATAAAGCTGATCGATAAGTGAGCTAGTTTTACTACCCACTAAACAAGCTTTCCATGTTACAGACAATTTATATACATTTCATGTTCATCTTTTTCTTATGCTTAATGTCAAACAAGTTGGTTTGGCCTTTTTCAAAGCAACTACCTTTGGTAACATATTGGATGACTTTAATGTGATATGTGGGAGTGTATGGAGCTGTAGAACATTGCAGCAAGTTTTTTCACTTTATTGCATGTAATCACGAATTCCTTGACACATTCTTATAACAGTAAAAAATAAAATGAACCATGTCTTACATTTCAGAACTGTCATCATATAAAAGAAAGTTAAGAGAACCACAAAATACACTCATGGACAAAAAGGAAACCCTGGCTTTTATATTTTTCCCCTCACAGATATGATGTGTTTTTTAAAACAAAAACATTTGTATTAAAGAAGGATATAATGTTACTTATTAAATATAAATAAGATAACATATTTATAGTAATCAACAACTCATCCATTTTTTTTTTTTTTTAACATCAACTACAGTGACAAGTTTCTTATGTTTACCTTTTGATTGACAAACTGTTGACAAGAAATGATGCCAACTCAACATGAACTAGTTCATTTAGGGACACACTTTATATTTTAAATTTCAAGAATTTGCTTCAGTGCGCGGGCATTATTCATGAAAATTTAAATCAAAATATTTTAAGGATGCAGCTTATCATTGGTTGAAGGTTAACAAAATAGTACAAAGTTTACACCTCAGATAATGAAAAGGTGGCATTCTTAAAAATTTTAGCCTAAGATTTTATGAATAAGGCGCAGGTCTTTTTGAAGTGGGAGGAAACCCAAGTTTCTGGAGAAAATAAAACAAGGTTATACAGGTAGCCCTACTCTTTACGCAAACATGCACAGGATCAAATCAAACTCATCATTTGCGTAGATTACAGGCCCTAAAGATTTATAGCCAGATTCTTACACCCCAAAATCACATATAATATTTGACATGTTTACATATAACTTAAGACAGTGAGCTAAATTTTGACTAAATATGTAATTAATAGGCCTACCGGTACTAAAAATAAAGGCTAACTGGAAAGTGTATTAGTGTAAGAGGGTTAGGTATAGTACATGTATATTTTCTGTTTGTTATAAAAGAGGTTTCTGAAGCAGAGCTATGCTTACTTTCATATTTAACACTCTCCTCTGGCCTATAAACATAAATCTATCAACCAATTGAAATATGAGAATATATTTATATACATGTACATGTATATACATGTATGGTTTGTCAAGTTTTACTCTCATGCAGGCCCACAGTACATGTATATATTATTATTATCATTTGTTTGTTTGTTAGAAATAGCAAACTCTAAAGATGGTACAAGCCCCTTACATATATACTCTTCAAAAAAAGTAGGGGATATTCAGAAACAATACAAAACTGCGGAAATGCACTGTTGTTTTTATTAGAAGGTAACTAGTGTATGTTCATATGGGCAGCTTATCTGACAGTCCCATTTCACTCGCAAAGAGATACACTGTCATAAGTGAAAATGGACGTTTTTGATTTTTGTCTTAATAGTGAGTAATTGCTCCACCAATCCTCAGACATTCAGCAATTCCTCGTGGCATGCTCCTAATCAACCGTCCAATCACGATTTGGGGCAATCTGACCCACTCCTCTTGCAGTGCCACTGTCAATTCTTGCAGTGTTGTCAGTTGACGTTGACGAACACGTCTCCCGATCATGTCCCAACATGCTCTATAGGGGAAAGGTCAGGACAATATGGTAACACTGGAGGTAGTCATTCACGACACGAGCGCGGTGGGAACAGGAATTATCATCTTGAAAGATGAAACGTCGACTTGCGCGTTGAGCAAAGGGCAGAACTATCTGTGCTAGGATGTGGTCACGGTAGTACACACCAGTGACTCCTTCTTGAACAATATGCAAGTCCGTTCTGCCAGTCATGGTGATTCCTCCCCACACCATCACAGACCCATGTCAGAATCTGTCATGCTGTCTGACGTCGTTAGCATGACGCTCATTTACACGCCTCCAAACGCGAGCACTCCTATCGGTAAAATCCAGAGTAAATCTGGACTCATCTGACTCATCGACGATTACCCAAATTTCGACGCTGCCTACACCATCAACGCCTGTTTGCCATGTGCTGGCAAGTTAATGGAGGCACAAAACGCGGTCGTCGCGCATGCAAATGGGCTGCATGTCGCCAATTTCTAATCATTTGGGGTGTAATTCGAATTCCTGTACCGTGGTACAAGTTAACAGAAAGCTGATTGGCCGTTTGTCCTCGATTTCGTAGGACCTGTGTACAAATGTATTGATCCTGGGCTTCTGTAGTGGCTCTAGAAGGACCTGAACGAGGTCTATCAACAGCGTTGTGTGTTTGTTGGTACTGGTTCCACAGTCTGCTGATCACAGACTGTGACACATTAAGCATGTTGGCTACAGCTTGCTGTGTAGAACCCATTTGAAGCATGCCAATAGCATGTGACGTTAATCATGTTGAAGACGTCTCATTGCAAATTAAGCGTAACACAAAAAAGTAAAGATATGCTAAACAGGAAATCTTATGCAAGAACTGATAGGAAAGCAAACATGGATAGGATAAACCAGCATACGGCAGTTTTCATCAACCCTTCCTTGAAGTGTCAAATCTGACAATGAACCCCATCCCACGTGTATGGCGCCTTGGCGTGTCACATGTGCAGCTCAGTGGTTCTGTTGAGGTGATAAGTTCTTCATCTGTGAACATACTCTCAAGGCATGTCAAGTGTCCATGACTATTTATCATATCACAACCTGCATAGGTATTTGCATCTGAATATCCCCTACATTTTTTTGAAGAGTATATATACCCAACTGCAGAAAGTTGTCCACACTACTAGGTTTATATTCAGATTTCTCTCATAAAGCATTGGCATGCACGTAAAAGATCCCTTGGCAGTTAGAATTCGATATAAGAGTAGGCCATAGTGCCACTGCCCGGACAAAATTTCCCTCATAGCACACTGCATGGCGTATGCCCGTCTTCATTAGCCCAGTATCGGAGCAGAACAGTAGGATGTTAAACCCCATTTCATTTCTCTCACAAAGCTACAAGTTTTATTCGTTTGTGAATTTTTTAGGATCAAGTAAGAATGTTCGCCTGTCACTTTATTGACTGGAGTTTATCTGTTTCACCATAGTCAGCATCCCATAGAAAGTAATGTTCGAATGGGAATTAAGATCAACTTAATTTGATAAGGTTATTAAGTTTTAAAAGCTACATGTACACACGGAAACACTAGCCAAAAGATTACAATTTTCCAAATCTTTAGTTGGGGATTTGTAATGTGTTTGAATAAAGCCATAATAAAAGAGAAAACTCATCGTAATTGATTTTCCACATTATGTCCCTTTAAATACATGTATGGGCAAATAAAAAATTATAAGCCATAAATAAAGAATTAATGTTTTATCACAGCTCACCTCCAAGCTTTTGTTATCACTGTTATACAGGATTTGTTTAATATGTTTTTCAATAAATTAACGTAAATTATGACATGTTATTAAGTCTGTCAAACTAGAGCATTTTGCTCTCAGAAACATTGACACATTGCTTTCTTTCAGAGAAATCCAAGCCAAAAGTGAGGCTGATGTCCCCCTCTCAATCCAAAATAAATACATGAGATATAATTGCACATTTATCTTTCTTTTTTTTTTAAAAAATAGAAAGATCAATCAACTGCTAAATATATAGCTGAAACATATATGCAGATAATGCTCATGATCGCACATGTTTTGATGTAGTGAAATCATACACCAAGTTCTACCACTATCCCTCTAGTAGACTCAATCGACCAATAAAATTGCTTCTCCGATTAGCTTTTAACTAAAAATGTTAATCATCAAATTCAGACAACACATACGCCTATTGAACAAATACACCAGGTATGAACATACTACCTAATTTTTAGTTATTGTGTTTCAAAGTCTTGACGAATCCAAACGCTTATTGCTACTTAGCCTAATGAGCTAAAGTATTAAGACTTATCTGTATGGTCCATCCATTATTTTTTTTGTATTTATCAGTGCCAATACATGTGTAATCGAAACTTTATCTAGATGGAC